AGGCTCATCTTCAATCAGTGGATGCCTTAATCATCAACTCAACCTTGACCGTAATGTTACTTTTAAATAGGGGTATTGATGTCACATTAATGACAACATATGTAATCTGACAAAAATAAGAAATGTTCTGCCTTTTCTAATATATACTTTTTGCAACTAAGTTTGTTGTAGATAGCTGATTATATATCATATAGTTTGGAGTGTGACCTAGAAATAATTATAGACGTTTCACTGATTACTTAAAATCATTTGATTAATATCAGCACTTAAAAACTTTTGATATCATTATATATTCTTGGCTCTGCATTATTCTTTCTCCCTCTTGAGTTTTCAGACACCACATTGATGCTGTGATGGTTATTAATAAGGCTATATGGAAGGAGACAAGAGGCTCTTCTTGTCCATGTTGACAGCACTGAAAAGAATTGCTTGCCACAAGAGCTCTTGTGTCTGTGCTTCTCTGTGGGTTGGAACTTGTTTAAGTTGTAGTTTATTACGATGTCTGAATCTTTTTAAAATCAAAGATAAGGGTCATTGAATTAAACTGCTTCTAAATTGAAAATGTGTGGGGGCAAACAACTAGGGGCAAAACAGCAAACTCAGATCTCTGCTTTTTTAGCTTCCCTAATCCTTGGTTGTCTATCAGATTCAATATTTACCACAGGCCTACTGTATATTGGTACCGCCTGCTCCTCTGGGCTGCATTCCTCAGGATTAGTTTCAACTCCCTCTTAGCATAGGTCACAGGTCAATGTTACTGTTAAACCAGTGCTTCAAAAAGTAGACACAAACGACCCTGAGGTGCCCTTGAAGGGGCCCAAGAAGTTCTGTTTTACAAGTTGCAGTATATTTCCGGATCCTGGTTTAAATACTCTAGTTGATTGTTGTGGTCATTATTTAAGTAGTTGTAAGGATCCAATACACTGACGACTGCACAGAAGATATTTAACTAAAGCTGATGTGGATGCTGCAGGTGCGTGAGTGTGTGTTTAAGAGACTTCACTGCTCACTGTTTTTTAGGTGAACTTTAAAAGTATACATGGAACACCTAATGTGTATTGTAGAACTATTGTATAGTAACTGAACTGAGTAAAAAGAGCCGTTTGACATTTTTCTAAAGACTGCATTGATGACCAAGGTACAGTATGTCCACAACACTGGCTAACTTCTGTGCTATTTCCTTGTAAGAGATGATGTTTACCCAGTTAAATTCTGGTAAAGAGGGTGTGAGAGGTGGAGAGAGGGAAGTAGAAAATGGAAAAAGAGGAGGATCTGATAAGCAACTGAGGTATTCCCCTGATGGGAGGGAGTTACATCTCTACCATCCGCCCAGCAAGTGTGGGGTGAGACTGTCAGACAGCGCGCTTGAGCAGGAGGAAGCAGAGATAAAGAGCTCCCCTCCTGCTTTTGTCCTGCTGGCTCCACTTCACTCTGCTCTTTGCGGATGCAAGCTGCTACCAGAGACCCTCTCTGCATCTTCCACCTGTGCTGATAATGCCGAGAGGGTTTCCATGACCTGCAGCACTGCAGCGAGTCTAGCAGCTGATTCATGATGATTCACTCTCTCACAGCAGGTGAGACTGTCTCCACTGTGTGCATGTTACACAGAGTATAATAAGTAGCAAAGAGAGATCTGTGCTAGTAGTGGGTACAGTTTTGGGAATTTTCTTTCTTCCCATTGGGATTTTGTTTTCTAAAGGGTGGTGTTAATAGATACAGGAGTTGAGGCTATAAGCGGATGGTGTGTTGCCTGTCTTTGATGTGTGTTTCTATTGGTGTGTGAGAGAGAGAGAGAGAGAGAGAGAGAGAGGGAGTAGAGAGGTGTTCAAACCACAGCCGTGCCCCAGCCGGCCCTGCTGCCAAGACTTAGCCCTTGTGTTGGATAGGGATTACTTTGAGCCTCTTGTTTTGCTGAAAAAAATTGGTATGGCATGCCAGGACTGAACTGTGTACTCCAGTTGTTGCAGCATTGAGAGAGAGAGGGCTGCTTTGAGCTGCAGTGCTGCTGATTTTCAAACCTTTCTCAGGAGTAGCTTTGGCTGAAATCAAAACCAGGTTGCCATTACATTCTCAGGTTACTCACTTTTCACGGTTTGCATACTTTACATCAAACTCAACTTTAAAATCCTTAATGTGCTTCTGTAAGGGTCTATAAGGATAAAGTTTAAACTGGTAACTGGTAAAATGGTGAACTGGTATTTTTACTTTATATATGGTACTTTGTAACCAAGAGCCACCTCTTTTCTCAGCTAGGATTGAGCTCAGCCTTGTTTACATTGTCGTAACATTTCTACTGTAGACTGCTACATCGAGAAAAGACCCCGTGAGGCTCTCTGCAAGGAGAGATGTCATTCTTTCTTGTCTTTATCTGGCCTGGTGGAAGCAGAAACTCTACTTGACCTGATGGTTAGTGTTTTGGGGCCCTGTAACGTGCCAGTGGTATAAGACAGTGCCTGTTTTTGGAATGAACATTTCCCCGACCCTTGATCGGTGTCTAACACTGAACGTCCTTTAGGATAAGTACTGTACAGTGACACAACATATCTCTAGTGTAGAAATGTTTTGTTGATTCTTTCATCTTTCAGTCTGTTGAATTATTATGAGCATATGATACCAATGAACAAATATTTGGTGTCAGTGGTTTCTTTTTCCAATTGTTACATCACAGTATGTGTAGCTGTAGAATAAGAAAATGGAATAATGTAAGGTTTTTGTAATAGAGTGGTAACTTGTTGTATAGTAAGTCACATGGCTTTATATTATCATATAATGAAAATAGAAGCTAAATAACCTGAATAACTGAATGCATGTTGGTTTCATTAGATTTATTTGTGCAATAATAATACTGGAAGCATCTCTTTATAGGTTGAGATGTAAGTTATAGCTTGGTATTACTGTATCTATGTTTACACCATATCCTCATGGTGTATTTGACTAGTTATTGATTAACATTGCTGTGCTTGTGAATGATTCACTTGAAGATTGACTGCACACAATTCAGTGTGATCTAAATCATCGTTCAAAACCTTGAATAATGTATTATGACAATCCATGTTTTATGCAGAGTCACTACACGATCATATTCGTGACATTGAACCCTATTAACTACATCTGACTGGCTGTTTCTCCAATACACAGTGTAGAAGGCACTGTGCTACAGCTCATCTGCAGCAGCAGTTCATTTTCCCCTTTGGGACAATTATCACAAGCATTGATGGAAGCTAGTTTTCTCCAAACAAACAGACCTACTGTGCTGCAGTGTTTATACACAAACTGGGGATGCTGCAAATTCCGTGACAATAGTTCAGAAGTAATGTGGCTAAAACAAAAGCCTCAAAGAATGCAGATTCCTAATTAACAGGGGATGCTGGTGCAGTGCTGTGTGTGCCCAGTGCAGCTCAGCAAATTATGAGTTGTTACCAGGAACAAGCCTGGCCAAGCCTGTGTGTGTGTTTGTGCACAAATATCATCAATAGCTGTTACACGTGTATGTGTAGGTTTTATGTATTGTTTATATTGATGCCATGTTTTTTGTGTGTGCGAATCACTCAGCATCATTCCTGTTCCATACGCCCTCTGAACTTTTCTGAAATGTCAGCTCATAAATCTTTTACCCGCTCAGTTTGTTCCCCTCCCTTAGCTGCATGGTGATGCAGTGAGGCACCACTTTCTGTGTTTCATTCTGCACATTTATAGTACTGACGTTGTGCAGCTGTCCTTCAGAGGACTCAACCCTTACTGCTGGATATATAGTAATTTCAATACCCTTGGTACACTTTAAGTTAGGACAGTGTAAACATGATATTCGCTATGTGCTTATCTGTACCCATGTGTACGTTTATGAAAAAGCAGCATATGGATTTAGATTCGCACAGCAGTTTCTTCTGTTGAAGAATAGTACTATAGTTTTTCTGCTGTAATAAATTGTGTATGGTGGTGATGGGAGAAGATAAGAAAGGGTTAGGGCGGATGAAATACAATACTAACAAAAACCAGACTTGAAAGCAAATATTGCAGTTCAGTACATTAACACACTCACTGCATTTTTTCAGCAAGCCTGAAGGGACAAAGACAAGACAGCTATCTCCTGATATCTACACCTGAGTAGAGAGAACACACAGGCCTTTGCTTCTAAATATTCGTAATGGCAGAGGAGTTGCCAGTGCTGGAAATTCTTCCATAACATTACATTGCATAGTGTCTCTACAGAACACATGTTTCTGAAGCTCCACATTTTTATATGTGCATACAAAATAAATAAATTGAAAAAGTCTCAGATGCACTAAGGATTAGAAACCCAGCGCGTCTCAAGGGATGTGTCACATTTGAAGTGATGATGGATGCCAGCACTGAGTGCCAGTGGCCACTAACTAATCCTAGATAGCTGTACACCTTAAAGTCCCTTGGTAGTAGTGTATAGTGCTTTCTGTATAGTGAAAAACTATAGCTAAACACAACAAGAAATTGAATGATGAAGCTTAACCTACCACGATCGTTAGATGATAAGGTTGGGAATCAGATCAGTACATTAGTGATTAAAAATGGGTTAAATGTCTCTTTATAAAGCATAAGAAATATCAGCCAATTACAGTATGAGAAAGAAGTAGAAGTAGAGACTCTGCTTCAGTGTGTCAGACCAGGCTGGTCCAGGCAGAGTCATGGTGGATATTTCAATCCTCTCACCACCAGCACCACTAGCCATTTGTCTGTTCTTATTCTATGTGACAGTAACATGCGTTCATGCTCTAGTTAATGCAATGAATGGCCCCATCTAACTGAAATCAATAAAGCTGGTGAGCTGGCTATGAGAGAGTGCTGATCCTACACTTTGCGTAAAAATAGAGCTGTGGTTCCCGACCTGGCTGCAATGCCACCATAGATTTTTTTCCAGTTGACTGCGGCGTTTATTGAAAGCTAAACTAGTGTGTAACCTCAACCAGCCGCCACATAGAAGTAATGACTTGATACTAATTTGTTTTCTCTCCGTCCTCTGTCTGCAGCCACAACTTGAGGACTACATCATTTCGGCACCCTGTCACCGGACAGATTTCCCCTGAAAACCAGAATACACACTGCAGACAGGTAGTGTTTGTTTTTTTCCTGGAAATGATGCGTATACTGTATGTTTCAATGTACAGATCTGTAGGTTAGTTCAAGGTCATTCAGTAGGAGTACAGAAATAGACGTGTAATTGGCCTCGCACCCTCCCTGATGAAGCATGTCATGTGTGGGTGGGGCACTGAGAGGCTACTGTCATAGTCGCAACACAAAAGGAAAGGACTGAAGAAGCCTCTTGGATGGGGGGCCAAACATCAACCAAGTCCAGTTGCTCACTTGTCAGAGAGTGCTTTGGACTCTCAGGTATATTCCTCAAAGTTTGCCTTAATAGGATTATGGTAATGCTAGTATGGTGTGTTAGCTGACACTAACATGTGCTTTTGACAGTGTTCATATCACATCTGGAGTCATGAATCGGTCTCATCAATCAGCCAAGTTATGCTTATGTTGGCTAAGCTTTATTTTCTTTGGCTATTTTCTCAATGAAGATGAAGTCATAAAAATGGAAACCTGCCTGTGTGATTCTGACTTGGGCATTAATAGAATTTCCCATATGTATGTTCCAAGTAACTTTAAAAAACAAAACACTTCTTTGACAATAATATTGTATGTTAATATCAATATGCCACTGAAATTTTGAGAGTTGGAACTGTGCTAGAATGGCGACATTGTGTTGTTTCATTAACTGCAGTACATGTACTTGTTATTGTATTTTCATTTTATGTCATTGTGTGAATCTTATCCTGCAAAGCCATCAAGCTGTATGGCAGGCAGAGCACAGTATAAGGCAGCAGTGTCTGATTGTATTTAAGAGCTGGTGTAAGATGATCATGCATAGCTGAGATTCCACTATAGGCAGCAACAGAGACAAGCATGTGACCTCCACATTCTCAGTAATTAAAAGATGTTCTCTTGAGGAATGTAAAACTGATTGTTATTCATCTGCATCCTTGACTGTCATTTCCTGAACCTTTCCATTATTCCTAGTTCAGTTCTGTTGAGCCATGGATTTACGTACTAACAATGGGCTTTAAAGTTAGGTGGCCATACTGCTATTTTCAACAGTGATAGAGAGATTATTTTACTTTGAAATAAATGCCAGTCATAATCTCTTAAGCTATCGTAAGAATAGCGTAAGTTTTATGCCTTTCTCACAACAACACAATAAGGATGTCATGCAACTGACAGGACAAGGTTAAGAAACCTAGTCTTTGTATATACAGTAAGCATAAAAAGTTGTGTATACGTAATTAAAATTTTCATTATTAAAGGAACACTCCAAATATTTCTTAAATACTGTCCACTGTCCCTTTGATCTTTGAAATCACAGCAGTCACTCTGTGTTGGCAACTACATAAGAAAATAGTTCAGCTTACAGCAAAAATGGAAGGAGTTCAACCAAAATTATAGCCAGGGCAGGTACACTACTAGTCAAAAGTTTTAGAACATCCCCATTTTTAGTTGTTTTGAAATATACAGTAAGTAGTTAAAGTCCAGTGAAAA